GAGTATGAATCCAAGCATGAATTTCTGTACCTACTTGAGAAGTCTTTCAAGTTGCATGTGTAACTGCCTTAAAACTGCAGACAGTTTCCACTGGGGAACCTGCCCCCTTTTATTTACCTCAAAACAAGCACTGAACTTAAGCAGACAACATAATTTCCCCTTTACACTATCCTTTGGGATATAAGTGACACAGGGTTAATTTTGTTGTTGTTGTTGTTGTGGCTGCTTCCCTAACCCTGTGTCTTAATCCTCTTACCTTCTATTGTTCTCTCCCACCCATAGTACAAGTGCACAAAATGATTCAGGGACTCAGCATAAGTAAACCCAACTGTCTTGCATAAACGAGTCGAACACCCCATGCACTAAGTGCTACTCTGTTCTTGGCATTAAATTGGTATACCCAACATTAAAGTAGACCAGCTCTGAATAATGGAAGCTAGAAGAAGTAATCACCTGTGACAAAAAAATGTTCCTTCACCTCAGTGTGGCAAAATTCCTTAAAAATAATAATAGTCCTAAAGACTCAAACCCACAGTTCTCCAAGTGTCCCTTCCATCAGCATCTGCAATTGTATTTATCATTTTAGCATGTTGACAAGTTATCTAAAACATAAGTCCTTAGGATAATCTCTTTATCAATACATATTCACTGGGGGAGAATGAAGAATTATAAGAAAGCTTCCATAATCTTAAACCTGTGCTGGATTACTCATTTTTAATAAATATGCCTTGGTTCCTAAACAGAGCTAAGCAAATTCCCTCAGATAAATACAACATATTCCAATTAATTTGCATTGTAATCCATGCAACAGACTCAGAAGATATGAAGCTTGCTTATGTAAAACTGGGTCAAATATGTAAATAATGTTATTCAAGTAATTGTGAGCCACATAATACATCTTTAACTAGCAAAGTCAACTTAAGTCTTGTTTGCTGTTTTCAAGTTACAAAGAAAAAGGATATATAAAAAAACCTTGACAACACACTACTCTTGTCAGCAGGCTCACAATACACATCCCTCAGCCTAAATTGCCATTTGCCACAGAAACTTACACTGTCAGCCGTATTTCATTTTGCAAAAGCTTCTGACACTCCAGTAACACATTTCACCTTAATATGTGTGATTCAAAACACTGTCTTCATTTATGTGGACTACAATGAACAGTGGAAGAAAGCTTTGGAAAAATTGTACCGATACTTGTCAACATGAGGGGAGGGGAGGCATTAATCTTTCAGCCTGAAGAAGGGCTAACTCAGCCACCATATGAAGTGGCTTTCTCTCACAGCTGTCACTTATGCTTCGTGCTTAGATGAGTTGACCCTGGCTGTTTCTTTCCAACAGCATACCTCTTGCAGAGTCAGAACAAAAATGTTTATCAGAGTGGGACAAAAGGAAGCTTGAGAGACCTCGCATAGAACAATGGCAGTTTTACAATCAAGGAGAGGCTACAATTTCCTGAGGAAATTTTTTTTAAAAAGGTTGTTTGTAACTCACCAACACATCTCGAATAAAGTAAGGGAGAAGGAAGGGACATTCTCCTCTTCAAACAATGGCCATGGTCTGGTGAGCCCTGAAGGTAACCTGTGGGATTTTTGAGCCTTTTTCCATCTCCTTGCAGCTCCATGTTGCCTCTCCAGGTCCCTGCAAAACAGTGCCCCTTTTTGCCCCTTCTTGCTTGGACCCTGACTTCAGCCAATCTTTTAATTTATACTTCATGTAATTCTACAATATTGTGTTAATCACCACAATAATATGTTAATTGCCTCACTCTTAGAGTGATCACCTGGCCAGAACCTAGCAATACAGCTTATATGTGAAGGACCATATTAGTGTAAAACTGGAATCACAACAAAAAGAAATAAATAGTGAAGAAGTCAAATAGTTTTATTTAGTATCAAAAGGATTGTAGCAAAAGCACTGGATTTCTTTATACTCAGCATCTACATATTCCTCAATCCCATAAAAGAAAACAATTCAATGATTTAAAAGTATTTGGAAGTAGAACACAGTTCAGTACAAAAACACAGAAGCACATAGGACTCTGGGTGGTGCACAATCCAGCAATACGCTTCTCATCAAGACTTGTAAAAGAAAAGCTTCAAAAAGGAAATCTTTCTACTCAGGTGAGTGGCTGGGCAGAAGCAAGGAACCAGAGAGCTCTATGGAGTCTGGGTTTCGGTGGAGAGTCTGGTTTTTAAATCATAACCATTTGGAGCCAAATATGCCCAAGAACTGGAAAGAGTCACTTTTGACAAGAATGAAACATTTAGATCACATTCACATTTTTCAGTTGCCATCCCTGAGAATGAAGGCATGGAAATCATGGATTTTTTGATGGCAGTATGCCAACAACTCACTCCAAGATCACCTCACAGAAATGTACTCTACTGCAGAGAATGGAGTTTTTGACTTATTTAACTGTTACATTTTCAAAGACAAAAGAGAGACAGAAAAGTGCTGGATCAGAAATTACAAGGAGTAATTTTGGCACAATAACAAAAATATAATATTCTGCATTTGCCCGCTTGAGCACCTGAACTTGTAACAGTGCCCAGCCATACAAATGACAATTACTTCTCTTACCATGTGCACTTGCTTCCCATATTTTTTAATTAAGACATACACCAAAGATGATGGGCACTGAACCATGGAAAATGTTTTCCACAATACAGAGTTATCTTGAAGAAAAACACGGTATGGTCTACAACGTCTGCCATGCCTCCATTGCAAAAAAAAAAAGAATCGAGGGACCAAGCATAGATAGGGCAGAGAAATCAATATACCCCACCGTGTTAAAAATCATAGTGTGCTCAAAAAAGTCTGTATGGCTGTTTTGCATGAAATAAACTGAAAAGGAAATTACAGAAAACACCACTTTGGAGCTTTCCTCAAGAACATAAGAACATTCCAGATGGGCAGTAGAAATGTGCACCACGAAACAAATCTGCATAATTTAATTTATCAGAGAGCTGAAAACTATCAGTATTCCCAGTTATTCAGGTTCCAAATACCTCCCAGGACATTCCATGGGGGACCTCAAAGTAGCTGTTTTATTGCAAAGGAACATCAGAAACAGACTAGAATGAGAGTCACAAGTTATTACAACACTCAGGACAATTGAACCCCGAGGGCTTAACAAAGATATTTTTTAATCTCATTACACATGCTAACATCATTCAGTTCTCACATCTGTTGTAAACTGTAATTATGCTGTATGTTAATTTGCTGCTATTCACAGGTCTTACCAATCGCCTTCATCCAGCTTTAGCAATGTTTACTGCTCAGTTACTTATGCATCTTAACTCTAATTGGCCCTTCCTGGCAACACCTTCCGCACCCTCTACCTGTATGTAATGACTGGTGACATCTGCTTCAACGTATCTGAAGAAGTGTGCATGTACACGAAACTGATACCCAGAATAAAACTTTATTGATCTTAAAGGTGCCACTGGACTCAAACTTTGTTCCAGGGCAAACAGTAACCAAACACTCAAGGCCAAGCAAAGCAACCACAGGCCAAAAGCCTTCCCAAAGCAGACAGAATTAACAAGCCCAAAGAACTAATGCAGAACCAGGGAATCCCAGCAGAAACACGGGACAAGACTAACACAACAAATGTCAAATCAAAGAACCCTCCAAGCCAAACCAATTTAACAAGAAATGCTGAGCAAGCTCAGCAAATGCCAAATCAGAATAATAATTATTGGTCCCTGCCACACGCAGGGAAAAAAACGGGCAACGTGCGGCTTTTAAAAGCCGCACCAAAATAGAGACGCCGCGGCGAGATCCCACGGATCCCCTGAGCATGCGCATGTCTGAGCATGCGCAGTTCGGCCAGGAGCCGGGGATGCGCCAGTGGAAGGACGCGCCGGCGATCCCACGGCCGGCCTTGATGCGCCCTTTCCCGAAGAACCACCTAGGTAGGTGGTTTATTTTTGATGCGGGGTTTTGGGTGGAAGGGCCGGATCGGGAACGGGCGTGCCACGCTTCCCAGATGTTGTTGTGGGATCGCGCCCGTTTGCTGCGTCCCTGATCCATCCCTCTCCCAGCCCAAAACCTCTCGTGTGACCGGGGCCATTATATGCCAGTGAGTGTAGTATAGCCAGGAGATCCAAAGATTGTCTGGCAGCCTGAAACTCTAGCTCTTTTTGTGGTGAGCTAGGTTTGTTTTTTGGGCTGAGAGAACTGCGACTGACCCACGGTTACCCAGGTGGCTTCATGTGGAGGAGTCCACTGCTCTTAACCACTACAACAAATCAGAGAATCCAAGCCAATGTTGGACTAGAGAATCCAATGCAAACCATAAACACCACATGAAATAACTTGAGCAAAGAACACAAGACCAAGGAAGCCAATTTCAAAGGACAGAATGCAAGCCAAGCCAAGTAAACACCAAACCCTGGCAAGACACAGACACATGGAAAATTAAGGAAAAAACAGTCCCAGGAACCTTACAACTCTGGCTCCTGATATTCTTGGTTACTCCTGAATATTTCCAAGATTTTGGGGGACTGATTTCCTAGTATGCCCAAAACTCCTGAATACCATCCAGACACCAATCTGGAAAATAATCAATGAAGTATTTTTCAGGCATATATTTGAACTGGAAATATTTGAATACACATCCCTAATGGGCAGCCATGTTAGGCTGTAGCAGCACAATAAAGCAGGAGTCCACTGGCACCTTAAAGACTAACAACATTTATTCCCGCATAGGTTTTCATGAGTCAGAACTCACTTCACCTAATGAAGACAGAATAATGCAGGAATAAATTGTGTTAGTCCTTAAGGTACCATCCTGTTCTATTTGACATAAGACAAGATCTGCATCTAAAGTATTTTTGCTCTTTTCAAGCACAGAGAATATAAGTGGTTTTTAGACACAATATAATATTGTGTTAGACTAGAGAAAGTAACTTGTACTACACTTGGCAATTAGACTTTAATTTTGTTTCAAAATAACATGTTTGATGTAAAAACTTCCAGTTTCGTGTCTGCCAAATAAAAAAGAATATTCTATGCAAGCTTTCATGTCTAATATATTACTAAAATATTTAAAACGCAGCATGTTTCTTTTTTTATAGTGTCTTGTGATGTATATGGTTTTCTGGGCACTAAAAGGACAAATTAAATAGAAGCGTCCTTTCTGTTGTACCGTAGAGAATCAATTCCCATAACTACATCTACCAAAGCATTATTTGAATGTACCAAGCTGCCTTGTTCCATTGGTTTGTGTAAAGTTTTGCCTACTCCAATTTGCTGTGATTCTTCAAGACCTCACACAGAGCTCTTATCTAGATAAGATCCATTACACTTCAAATGCCAGCAGTGACCTGTAAGTGCTGAAAATATCTCATAATATGGAGGAATGCTTTGGGAATGGGCCTTTTGTTTGGCTCCCTAACTACTCTGTAAGCAGGAAAACCAGATTCTTGATCAGAGTGTTCCATAAACTGGTTCATAAGATGATTATTCCCAAGGATTTCACCATAAAGTGACTGTTGCCCCCCAAAATAAATAATGGAAAGATGAAAAGTTTCCTTATATACATTCTTAAAAGAAACAATTATCTAGTTACTTATTCTGAAAATGTTGACTGACTTTAATAGTTCCTCAGAATAAGCAGTCTGAGAACTGGGGCCTCTCTATATATCATAAATTAGTGAACAAATATCCCAGTCTGGGCTCACAAAGAAGATATTACAGTTTTTGTCAGCCCTTGTACATTTTAAAGACAAATTCACCTCTGAAAAACAAAGCCTTGAATTACTTACACGTAACAATACTGCAACATTTTTTAAAAATACAATAAAAATGTTTTGGCATTGGCAGAACAGGTTCAGTATAAAGGATTTCTCTTTTGAAGGCAAATACTGTCCCAGATGATGACTGAATGGAGATGATGACAATGACTTGACAGGTGGATACCTGTGAAAGTACTTTTGTAAAAAGAATGGGGCACTTCCCCAGAAAGTTCTCTTGTACAAGCCCTGTCCAAATCCATGGGATCTGCACAAAAGTGATTCAATTTGGGAGTACGTGAGCATTTCTGGTTCATTTCAGTGGGGCTTGCGCAGAAGCACCTTGCGCTGGGTCATGCCTATGGACAGTTTGCTTTGAGTTATGCATTGAAAACTAGTGACAGATAGTAAACCCTTCCCCATCCAAAAAGACAAACGGTTATTTATTGCTTGATAACGCTCTGGATATTATATACAATGCCTTCAGCTTGAACTCGTTCCAGTATTGGTCCATATACATTCTTCGTCAGTGGGATTACCATGCCTTTGGTGTTAATTTCCCCTGGAAGATAAAGTGATAAATCAATGTCTATTGGGTTCATGCTGATAAAAGGAAAAAATCAACCCCTGTTTCATAGAGCTGCTTTGAACAGGGCTGGGGAACATGAGTACAGAAGCCCCTACAAATCTACCCAGCGGCTATCTTCTATTGTTTTCTGAGAGCTATCATTTTCAGAGATGTCCCTGCTTTCTGAGGCTAGACTTGGGGCTTTCTCAGTGTCCCTTCCCCAGGGACATCCATCTGCCCCTTCTATCACTGTATTCCACCCGTGGGTGACAGCTGGGGTTTTTTTGGTTGTTCTGCTTGGCATTCCCCTCAGTGATCCCCTCTTTCTGCCTTACATATTAATTTGTAGCACTGACTTTCAGATATGTACTCTAGCTCTGATTTTTAATTGTTTTTACACTGTACTTTTATTATGCTTGCTCTAAATGTTAGCCATCTTTGTGGCCCCGATCAGGCAGAAAGGCAGGATTATAAATATTGTAAATAAATAATAAAAATAAATAAATGTATTGGTTTATAAGAATTATTGTCACATTTACAGTCACTAAGGTAATAATATTTCTTGGAAAGGTATTGCATCATCCATGACCCAAAACAGCAGCCACCCCCTCCCATTAGATTATCTTGACAAAACCTAGGAAGAGCCTTGCACATACATACCATCAAGCACCATTTTGGCTGCGATGGCTGTAGGATACCCTACGGTTTTAGCCATTGCAGAATATCCTTTAGCATCACCATACACCACCAGACTGATGTGTTTGTCTTCCAAATGACCAGATGGATGGCTGATTCCTATTTCACTTCTCATAACTATCATATCTCGTTCTCCAGTGCCTAAAAGAGAGGCAGAAAGCTGTATTTCCATTTCTTTATGCAGGAAATAATGACAAGATGCAAGCTTGATGATGAACTGTAAACCTGTGTCATTATCTCTATCTATAACTCAAAGGGCATTAAGGTACCCACTCCTATCCTCTTGCATTTTGCTTCTGGTTGCCAGTGAAACACATCTTACCTCTCTGAACAAAATAATTTTCATGCTGTGTGGTAGGAAGCGCTTTCAAGTCACAACCAATTTATGGTGACCTCCATAGGATTTTCAAGGCATGAGATCAGCAGAGGTGGTTTGCCTGCCTCTGCATGGTGACCCTGGACTTCCTTGGTGGTTCATCCAGGTACTAATCGGGGCAGATACTGTTTAGCTTCTGAGATCTAATGAGATCTTCATGCTATATCAGAATATAAATGGTCCATCTGTTGCAACACTGTTGACGGTGATCAACCAGGTATATCAAGGAGAGGACATGCATAATTGAGGTATATAATAGAAGTATTCATCTCTGCCCTCAGAATCTGGAGATAGTCATACAAATCCTGTCATGGAATGTGGAGGCTATAATTCTCTTTTACTGGCAATAAATCATGCTCCAGAAATTAAACTTGGCAGATTCCCCTTGCAAAAGTATATTATGATACACAGTTACCCACTTGTTCCATTTTTCATTGTTTCACGTACCAAAAGACAGCTTGATCTCCATGTGCTTGGCCAGTGCACCCACTATAGTGTCTGCTCTTGGAACAGGCTCATCTCCAAGCAATCCCAACCTGAAGTAGTACAATAAAAATAAAGATACTTGTCCAAACAATCCCAAACAAGCACATTACATATATAGGGTAACTATACCAATAAAGTACTTCACGGAAATATTTTTGTTCCCACTGTTCCAGATAGGAAACAGGGGTGCAAAGTCAGAGAGGCTTGCTGGGTGATCCCGGATGTAGTTTTACTACTGCAATTAGAGGGAGGCGGAGAGAAACTGGGATATACAACTTCTTCACCTAGCAATTAGTCTCATCCAGGGGTCATTTCCTGCAGGAGCGCACAGGAGCTCCAGCAATAAAGAGCCCAGGAGGCGGGCACATGCAACAACCCCTACCCCCTGCTCCCAGCAGCCCTCAGTCAGAGCAAGAAGCAGCCAGGTAAGCTGCAGAGCCCCCCCCCGGGCCCCCGGTCCAAAACAGTCCAGTGGCACCTTTAAGACCAAGTTTTATTCAGGTATAAGCTCTCCCTCCTCTGCGAGGACAGATCTGCACGTTCCCCCCCCCCAATAGCTAGCAATCCAAAACAGTCCAGTGGAGCCTGAGCGGTGGGTGTTGCCTTCTGAGAAACTTCTGGTGATGTCAGGGGGTGTAGCATGTGCAAATGAGTTATGCTAATGAGTTATGCTAATGAGCTCCTGCACTTCTTTTTCTACTAAACGACCCCTGGTCCCATCCACGAAAGAATTACACCTATACTGCATCTGAGTGGCTAAGTCCCTTGACCCTATTTCTGGGGCAGATTTTGGTGGCACATCTCCATCCCATTAATGCATTTGGTCTCAGACTGGCCAGAGATCAGGGCATCCCAGGTATGTACAACATGTCTCTGCTTCACTTAGCCAGATGCTTATACAGTGGAATTCAACTTTCCGGCTCTCCCATTGGCTGTGCTGTGCGCTCCATCAGCCACTGGCCCATCAACTGCCACTCAGGAGTACTCGCGTGCCATTGGCTGGGGGCTGGGTCTGCTCCTCTCCCCCGCCCACTGCCAGCCTGGACACTCTTCCCTGACAGAATAAACTGCCAAAATGGCTGTCTCTCCTGACAAAAACACTTCTACTTCTGCTTGGTTCTGCTGCAACAAGCTGGCTACTGATGTGGGCCACCAGCTGTCAAACCATTCTCTTCTCCTCCCGCTGTGGGGCTAACTTTTCCCTCAGTGGCTGTTGCTAGGCAACCAAGCTTGGTTCTGCCAGTAAAAAGGCAGGGGCAGGAGGCCCTTTCCAGGCCTACTTTGGACCTGGCGGGGAACTCATTGGAGCCAGTCCTGAATAAGGTTGCCAGCTCCAGGTTGGGAAATTCCTGGAGATTCTGTGGTGGAGTCTATGGAAGCCAGAGTTTGGGGAGGGGAGAGGCCTCAGCTGAATAGAATGCCATAGAGTCTACCTTCCAAAGCAGTTATTTTCTCCTGTGAAATGATTGCTGCCAATCTCCAGGTGAGGACTGGAGATCACTCAGAATTAAAACTGTTCTCCAGATGGCAGAGATCAGCTCACCTGGAGAAAACGGATGCTTTGCAGAGTGGACTCTGTGTCATTATACCCTGCTGAGGTCACTTCCCTCCTGCTTGGGTCCCCACTACAGAGAAATACTGTACTTTTCCTATGTAGAGGCTTGGGGGGGACATGGAAAGTTGAAGTCAGAGAGGCAGATAAAAGTAGGTTGATGGTTGGCTGTGAATGAGATAGGGTTGCCAGCTCCAGGTTGGGAAATTCCTGGAGATTTGAGGGGTGGAGCCTGGAGGGGGTGGGATTTGAGGAGGGGTGGGATCTCAGACAGGTACAATGCCATAAACTCCACATTCCAAACCAGCGATTTCCTCCTGGGGAACCATTGTTGCCAATCTCCAGGTGAGGGCTGGAGATCTCAGAATTACAACTGCTCTCCAGATGGCAGAGATCCGTTCCCCTGGAGAAAATGGTAAGCTCTGTGTCATTATACCATGCTGAGGTCACCACAGCAAATTGACGCTGGGTGTCTAAGGTCAGGGCACCCGCCCAAAGCCTCTTCCTAGAGCTCGTTGTATTTTTTCCACAACGGGCCTTATTTGTAGTATTATATAAAGATCAAGATTAATGTACAAATTGACTGATTTAGAATTCGGACTAGCTATTGACCTACAGACAAAAACTTGTTCTGGCACCTAAAACCGTTATTTCATAGCAAATCTTCAATTAAAGTTTTTATGAACCTGGGGCAGGCTGAGGGAACAGCTGTTTTCCGTATATTTAATTGGCAGTTCTGTTGTGTGTAATATATCTGGATATCTGCAGAGAGGACTTAAAGAGGCATGTATATAGAGAATGGTCGCTGATGCAGTATCCTACCATTCTATTGCTTCCAGCTGCCTTTCATCCTTGTCCAGTTTATTGTAGACGACTTCTCGGAGATCATCCAATTTGACAGATGGCTTAAGCCCCAGAAGCTTACACATCAGCTCTTGCTAGGTATGAGAAATCAAAACCACCATCAACAACAATGCATGACTATCTGAAAGCACTGAAGCCTTAGGAAGACTGTCGGTAAACAAAGAAGTCTGCTGGATTTTGGAGTGCTAAAAAGGTATGTTAATAACTTGGCAAGAATAGTGATAGCAAGCTAATGGAAACAAGCTCTAATGCCCTTTGATGCACTAGAAATATAAAATTTGGAACATAATATTTTTGAATAAGATAAGACCTCTGGGTGAGGAGCATCTCTGGGAAAGGAGAATTATATTTAAGGAGAAACTTGAAAAGCTATGGTTGTCCTTTCTGATATACTGGAACACCATGGTGCTTTCAGAAAATGTACAGTAAGAAGGTTTTACTATGAAGTACACAACAGGGTCTGTTTTTTTTATCAGTGAAGAGGCTATGCCAGGGTTTGTGGGACCCACTTGGACAAAAACCACATGGGAAAGGGCTACAGTGAAGAGTGGAAATTGGGTGAGCAAAAACGCTGGTAGGATCCAACCCTATGAATTGATTTTTTTATGCCTTAACTTTTAAAAAAAAGATTATTTTGCTTTCTAGCCCTGAGAAATACTTTTGCAATCCTTTGAGTGTTGTCATACTTGAAAGTAGATTATTGGATGTATTTCTTACTTTACTTGTTTTTCTTCAAAATATTCTGTATCGGGTTGTTTTCGAATTAGAAAAACAATAAATGATAGGTGTATATGACCAGATACAAGCCAATACTACCCGAGTCTCAGCTGCAGCCTCATGAAGCCGTTCTCTTGGACCCAAGAAAGAAATACTCACCCATTTTGTAGAAGGTGCTTCTGCACTCAGCAGAGGGCACAGCTCTGTGTTTATTAATCCCAATTTTACAAAGCCTCCTACAGCTTTAGAATAACCCTGGAAGAACAGAAGAAAAAGGTTACAGAACAGAAGAGTGGGTGGTCACAGGCTCCTATCCACCATATAATTCTACAATACATAAGAATCACCATGGTGGATCAGACCAGTGGTCCATCTGGGCCAGAATTCTGTTTCACGCAATGGCCATCCAGTTGTCCTGGAGGACCAAACAGAAACACCCAAGGCAAACAAGTCAAGGCCTTTTCCTGATGTTACCCCTTAGCCACTTTGGCCACTGATGGACTTATCCTGTAATCTAATCCCTCTTTAAAGCCTTTACTACATTCACTTTCATTGAATTCCACAATTTAAATAAGAAGTATTCACTTTTGTCTGTCCTGAATCTATTGCCTATAAACTTCACTGGATGATCCCGAGTTCAATGGGAGAAAAAGTTCTCTCCATCAACTTTCCCTACCTCATGCTTAATTTTATAAACTTCAACCATGTCGCCCCTCAGGTATCTTTTTTCAAAACTGACAAGTTCCAGACTCTTTGGCCTTTCTTCACAAGAAATGAACATCAAGCCCTTTATCATCTTGGCCATCCTCCATCTGCACTTTTCCCATTTCTGCATTATCTATTTTGACGTAACCTGACCAAAACTGTACACAGTACTCCAAATGAGGCTGAGCCATAGATCTGTACAAGGACATTAAAATATGTATGCAAGAGATACTGAAGTCAATCAGTGTGGCTTCTGCAATATTCCAGCCTCTGTGCTTTTATTCTGTATGGCTGATCCGCAGCAAGCAGAAAGTTACAAGCAAAGAATTCAAAGACAGTTCACATACCTACATAAGACCATACTGATCACCTAATCCAGTACTGTTAACTCTTATAGCAGGTCTTTAAAAGCCCTGCTAACAGAGTTGCCAACCCAAGACTTTATGCATGTAAAGCAAATGCTCTACCACCAAGTTATGGCACCTCACAATAAGAGTTTCATGCATTTTAAATGAATATTTCCATCAAAGGAAAGCTGTCTCTCATCCACAATGTTCTATTGCTACCACCATTATTACAACATCATAGTCAAAGTCATAGGTTACACTTTCTACAGATGAAAAGGCTATTTAGAGGATTACCCCCAAAGAAACGAGGCTTTGCTTTCAATAGATAAGAACTACAATGTATGCTCATCCATGCATATATTGCTGGTCACACATGAAATATACCTACGCTGTATCGTAACGTCCCTCTTAAAAGAGTGTGAGCTGATTGAATACCATAGGGTTCAGCATATTTGGTACTATCCCTGTTTGGAAAACCTTCCAAATTTAATCCTGGGAAAAAATCCATGACAGTAACAGAATCAAGCAAAGCTCCTCCAGCTGGAATATTAACAATCTAAAGGTTGTAGAGAAAGAAAGAATTGTGTTAAGCGTATTATATTTTAGGACAAAAATCCCCAAATCCACATTAGAAAGTTTGATTCTCCAAGAGACGTTAAGGTCCCTTTCTATTGCAGGGCCACATAAACCACCCTTGAAATGCCACTCAGGCACCATGATGTCACTTTCTTCTACATCCACATCTACCATGTTGGAGGAGAGGATGAAACAGCCACCCAAGCCACCCTCTTGTCTCAGCTCTGCTACTAGATGCCCCAATACATTACAGGTACCAATGTGCACTGCATCGCCTCTCAACAAGAAGCCAATTTAGAGTTCTTCTTCTGAGACTTAATACAGGTCTTAAATTTTTGATCTAGAAATTACCCCTCCTTTGCATTTTACAGATAAATACAGATTAGTTCACCTCTCCATTTTTTAAATATGTGGCAGGCTGAACAGTATTCAGCAGAACACCTTGTGGACTCCAACTGAATTTGTATCTCAGGGGATTATCGGAATGCTCTGGAGCAGGTAGGCCACCACAGAAAGATGTGTAAGATACCACCTGTGGTTGAAGAAAAGAAACATAACTAATTAAATTCCATTGGTTCAGAAACATGTGATACAGGATGGGATAAAATGTAGCCCTGCTTTACTCTGTGGCACTGAATCTCCCTGAACTTATTAAACTATTTTCCCATTTGTTTCAGAAAAAGATCCAAAAACTATTTGTCATATTTTGTTTTAATATCTGAATTCATTACTCTAACTTCACTAGATTCATCAGAGAATGGTTAAAAAGCCATGTATTACCTGGAATGGATATATACTAGCCACACAGCAGGATTAAATTTGGGATTCCATCCATAAGAATGAGTAAACACACTGACACCACTTCAGTTCAAGTCAGTTATGAGTAAGTCCCATTGTTTTCAGTGGCACTTAAAAAGCTGCAACTACCTTGTACCACTGGATTTCAATGAATAACTTCACCTGAATCCCCTACCTCGGATTGTACTTATGTAAGGAATTTCAAATGGTATAGTCAAAGTAAATTTATTAGAATTCAGGCCAATTTCTACATGCATCAGTCCCTGATGATTTACAGAAAGGGGAAGTCAAGATCCCAGATGTAGGGGGCAGTGGGAGAGGAACCTTTAGACCACAACGGACCACAACCACCATAAAAGATAATGGACCACATTTCACAATAAAAGATAATGAATGAAATAAGATTTCATTGGGAAGTAAAGCCTCTCAACAAATCTGTTATCTACTGGACTTACTGTAGCACCCACTTCTTTCGCTTTATCAATACACTCCATTGCCAGCATATGATCAAGACCAGGATCCAGACCTACTTCACTGATAACTGTGATGCCAGAAGCCTCTACACTAAAATAAAAGAGGGTGAGTTCAAACCAAAGATCAGAACAAGGCATCTCTATAGCTCCAGAGCTCCAATGATTAAAGCCACTGGTTCCCAAGCAGAATATTTATCAATTACTGTTGTAGCCCACATTTCTTCTAGCATGAAATCCAAGGCAGTATACATGGGTTTCCATGAGGTCTCCCATTCAGGCACTGTCCAATCTTCAACACAATTGCTCTAGCATGTGCCTTCTAATTATGCCTTGGGATCATATATTTGCCATTATGGAGGGCTACATTCAACCCATTTCATCTCAGCGTCCCTATACAAGCTGAGCAAGGAGGGATGGACCACCTTAATTGCATCCAGTGTAGAGGACCCTGAGTGGACTTGCTTTGCCAACTTCATAGAAAATGCTGAATTTCCCCATCATTCTGCTGTAGAAGGTTTTGTAGTAGGTTGCCTCTCTTTAAGGATTTAATATATATGCCAAGTTTCAGCTCACCTAGCCACCAACAGTGGACACGCAAGAGGGTCAACAGGCTATGACCAATGATTGACAGTGGACACGCAAGAGGGTCAACAGGCTATGACCAATGATTGCTGGAAGAAGACATAAGTGCCAGGGATAGAACCCATGGTTGAATAAGAGACTTGGTTCAGATATAATGCAAAACCACAAGAGAAAAGAGTGACAGGGATTGAACTAGCATCCTGGCTTCAGAAATTAGCCGTAGTTAAAAGGAACCAAGGTTTTGCTTTATGTCTAAACTGAATTATAAGGATGCTGACTTCCAGTTTCAGGATAATGTGAATGAGAGATGTTCTTCTAAAAAGAGAAATTGGAACATAAAATGGATTAACTCCTGGACTTACCTCTGCTGCAGCTCTTTCATAGCTGGTGTCAGGTAACTAGCAGTTACCAAGTTCACTTTGCTGTCAATACATTTCTTAGCAACTGAAGGATGGAATGAATAAGGCAGCAAACTAAAGAGACAAAGGAGAAAGAAGAGAAAATTCTTGCACACCTGAATATGGGGGGTGCATCCCTAAAAGAGCAAAATGACCAACTAAGTAATCATTTCCACACAGTCATTTATAGCAGGACAAAATACAGTTACTGGATTAGGACTGAAGGAGATCTGAATTCAAATGTGCCCTCAGCCATGATCTTGGGCCAGTCACTCTCTCACAGCCTAACCAATTTCACTGGGTTGCTGTTATGGTAAAATGTGGTAAGGGAGAACTGTTCCTTAGAGGAACAGCATGATAAAAATGGGACTCAGTGTGAGAAAAGAAAGGGGGAGACAAATTTAATGCAGAAGATTCAGGAGAAATCAAAACCATGGCATTAAAAAATGGTAAGAATCCAGTGTTAGCCATGTTAAATGGAAGAAAATCAATTTCTACTTAGAGTTCAGGATCGGAGTCTAAAAGTGAAATGCTTTGAAAGGCAAAAGTGCCTTTGACGTAGTTGGAGAAATCTCAGGGGTTTTTGGCAAATCTGCTGGAAATCTTTGTGTACATTAACAACCTCTCCCACTTTGTTCATTTTCTCTCAAGCTCTGTATTTCAGCTCACTGCCATAATTCCGGCCATTTCAGAGGAAGCTCAGTGGTAGCTCAGTGACAGCGCACATGCTTCCTAGGCAGAAGTTCCAGGTTCCGCCGCCCTGGCATCTCTGACTAAAAAATATCCCAGGCATGGTTATATAGGCCCCTCTGCATGAATATTTGGCAACCACCAGAACAGAAGTAGATTGACCAAATGTTTAATTTAGCGTAAGGCATTTTGGTATGTACTTCTTGCCACCTGACCTTCCTTTAGACCTGAAGTCTCCAACAGGAAACCATGAGCTACTGGTAGCTCACCAGCTGCTGCAGATAGCATTCCTTAGAAGGCCCAGGAAAAGACCACAAAAAGATACACCTAAAAAACTTTTGTTTCATAAGATTTTCCTCTGTGCAGTATAGCTGATAGCTTTGTTTCTGGTACTCTTCCTAGTCCACATTCTGTTTCTAGGACAGAACAAAACTTGGTAACAGGCCCCGGGGTGGGGAAAGTAACCGGGGATATTTTTCATTACTCAGAATTAGTTCTCATTAAAGAAAAGCTTGGCAACCCTGTCCCTAGGCCATGATCCCCCAGTCTTGTTGAGCCTGTGGGCACTTGTGAAATGTTGAGAATGAGGAACGGGCACCAGTTTATTAACCAGAATCCAGCTGAGCCCAGACAGCTTGCCCATGGCTAATCCAAGCACTGCCCCACATTCACTGCCTGGGACTGTTGAAACAACTGCATGATCATCAGACGACCAACCTGATCACAAGATCATGTTTCTTCACCATGGATGATAATCTCTCTTCGTCTTTGGTGACATCCATAAAAACAGGAACTATACGGCTGTGCTTCTTAGCCAGTTGCTCAAGCTGCTCCTTCATGACAGACGCTGTTGAAGAGCAAGATTCTCAGGTAAAATACTCTGGATCCCTTATCACACTGCTAAATACTTCTCCAAGCCAGTTTTACTCAAATGGATCATGTAATTCCCTCATGCCACAACTAGCTTTGCATGTATTTGCCACCAACAAAATATATGTGCCATCTGGCCTAAGTGAAGGCCAGTATAAACTTTTTAAAAATCAGTAGTAATAACCTATATGCCAGTTGCATGTATCTCCTTTCATGAAACCATGCTGAAATCAATAAAAATGGCTGTATACAGACAATATATCTGGTGCATATAGATAATAAATTTTATATACATACATACACACACATGGACACACACACACACACACACACATAAAATCCAGCAGGTAACATGCTCCTCCGGGCCCCCCGCACCACCGCTATGCTCCTTCCATGAGCAGGGGCCTGGGCTGCTGCCACCACCACCCAGGAGCCTTGCAACGGCGCCATGTGAATCCCAGACTCAGCTCAGCATGGCTGGCTGCATGCTGGCAGGGCCTCCCATCACACTTTGAGGCTCGCTGCTCCTCTCCGGTTGGACTCTGCCTTTACAGGACTCTGAACAAGCTGCTGGAGCCCTCCCCCCCCCACACACACACACCTGGGAGAGGCTCTGGCACTGCTACCCAGTCACCACTGCCATCTCAACGTTAGGGGGAAAGGAGAGAGAAAGGGAAAGATGGGGGGTATTTATTGGCTCAGGGGGAGATCGGGGAGATCAGGGAGATCAGCAAGAGTGGTGGGTGAGTGGAGTGCCAAGGGTGGTAGGGGGTAGGTGGGGAAAGCTGCAAAGGTGAGGGTGAGTGAAATACCAGGGGTGAGTGGTAGGTGGGGAGAGTACCAAGGATTGGGTAGACTGATGGAGAAAATGTGGGGGAGGGGCAAAAGAGATGAAGGTTAAATTGACAGATAAGAGGAATGGGAGAAAGGAGTAAAATAGGGGGCAGGTTGACAGATAAAGTGAATGGAAGAGAGGGAGATGGAGGGTAGGTTATCTGATAAGGTATGGAGGCAAAAGAGATGGGAGTAGATTGACAGAAAAGGGAAAGGGGAGAAATAGAGGGAAGATTGTTAGAGAAAGAGGAAGGGACCCCACTTGTATATATATAATATAGATGATAAATCATAAATATATAGACAGCTGCAAAAATATGCACAGCAGCAAATTAGAAAAATAAGGAACACTAAAAATGCCCAAGAGATTTAACAACATTGGTGAAATAATCACGGTGACTGAACTCATGTTGAGTTACTTGACAGGTAAATTTGTAGAACAACAGAATACCAATACATGATAAACAGACTAATTTTGAAGATGGACTTTTCCCCGTATATGGTCTTCAGTATGCTGTCAATTCTATGAAATTTAGTATGATCAGTTGCTTATTTACTGTTTCGACATTTAATAAACAATAATGGGGAGAAAAAGGAATAGGCTAGTCCAAAATTGTACAGTGTTTAAGTAGGCAGGTAGCAAAGGTACAGACCCTTCAGAGAAATGCTCATCTGTTTTGCTACATTCTTATGAAACAGCTAAAAAATTAACAGTTGTACCTTAGTCGGTACTAAAACATCATGAAAATCAGCCTAAAAAGTACAATATTTATTGAGCAAAAGACAGCCCATACAGAAAATCTATATAGCACTAGATTGGATCTCATCTATGCTTTAAAGATGAACAAGACACTTCTACAAGTGGAAATGGCTGGGAGATTCTCGCTGTCTCCACCCTCCCACTAAAAATCCCACTTTGTCCTCAATTGTTCCTGAGGATGTACCAAAACTTGGGGGCTCACTGCCAGCTACTGCCAGGGAGCGGGAGAATACGTTGCTTCTGTGAGTGCCACTTGGGTCACCCAAAACAGTATCAACGCCATTCTTTCTGTCCTATGGGTTATTTTGAGATCCTAGGATTCTCACAAACCTGCTGTTATTTCGACGCGGGAGTCTCTCAAGAGGTATTCTATCACAGGCCCAGAGACATACCCAGATCCCAGTAACAAGACTTTCTTCTTCTTATCCATGGCCAGTGACTGAGTGTACTCCCTAGAAAAGACAAAATTAAATGGAGAAGAAACAGATTGGCCGTTAAAACCTGCTGATGTGTGAGTAAACGTTAAAACAAAGAACACTCTCAGGGTTAGTATGACAGCTCTAAGTCTGCTCCTGCCCAACATCAGCCAAGCATTGCCGGCTCTTAAATTGGTAGCAAAACTAATGCATGGTTTCAGCCTGGTATTTCTGGTGTCTGTTGATACTCTGTTTACTTACATTTACACTGACATCAACACAAATTACTATTCGGTGTTTTTTGAAAAAGACACAAGACCCTCACTTCTGGGAAATGAAAGGTGAACCGGAGAGGCTAGACTGCCAAGCTTACACATCACTGATATTGTGCACTAGCATCAGCACAGATGCCAGCCACTTTGAACACAGTCCATGACATTAGGATACCAGCATTACTCTATCAATCCACAGGATATGCTAAGGGAGTTCCAAGGCTCATGAAGCCATCTTGCTGGAAGTAACATTCAGCCATCTTAACCCCCATTCCAAACAGGCTGAAAAGCATCAAGGGTCCTCATGGCTCAACTCTACAACCTGTTTTAGAAACTCCAGCACAGTTCTTTAAATAAAAAGGTGCATGTGCACAATGAGACCGTCTTCAACACTACCAGTTCTTACCCAAATATTATACAAATCTTGAATGGCTTCCAGCAAAGCTTGGATCCTGGCACATCTCTTCATAGTAATGGGGTCTGGGAGACCCATGCTCATATCCTCTACCAACATCAGAGGATGAGAACTGTAATGAGTTTGAAACTCTAGACTGTGTTATGACTAATCCACAGGCAAGACATCTTCTAGGGTAGATACTTTACAAAATGCTACCTTCTAATGAATATCCATCAATCATATTTCACCCCGTTGGGATGTGATTATCTCTCTGCAGATCAAGCAAACTCAACGAAATCATGGAACCTAGCCTGGGAACAGACATACACTTCCCAATACAAAGCAAAGGAACATTTTTACGATCCATGTAACCTCTAGCATTTTTAGGGTGGCACAAGCTGTTCTTATGTTGTGGGTATTGCAACAAAACTTTCAACCTAATCTGATACCAGAAGAGATTTCCTGGGTACTAAAATAGTCAGATATAAATTCTTCACCAGAACAGCTCTATCCTATGGTCTGCATGAACCATGGAAAGTAAACATCTGGCAATCAACTCAAATTACATAATGTATCCAACTTTTCCATCATTGAGAGAAGCAGAAAGAGATGAGGGGCACTCAACCCCTGCTGCCACAGTCTTTGCAACTTTGCTCAGCCATCTCAAACATCGAACATTGCACTCATGTTGCATTAAGAAAAAAAAAGATGTCCAAGGTGCTGAAGGTGTCTAGTACAGATTTCAGTGGTTTCCATGACACAGCTATGGAAAGGATAACATTCAAAAAGAGCTTGTATTGCATTGTTCTCTTATCATGGAAAGCAAAAGCATTCAGAAGTCACACACAGCTGGTCATTTGAAGAGAAGCAGCCATTAGGTCAGATCCAACTAGGTTTAAGGCTGGTGAAAAAAGGAAGATGGGGTCCTTTTCAACCACCAAAAGGGCCATGCTGGGTCTCACAGAATCTTTATGGACAAAAGCCATGTGAGACAGGGGCCAAAGTAAGGAGGGAAATTGGATAACACTGAGTGAAAAAGCTGGCTGAATCCAGCTCACTAACTGTTACGGGTAAGCCACTGGGGTGCCTTCCCCTCTCCTGTACAGCAGAACCAGAGTAGCATCTCCCTTCACAGTTCTTGACAGTATTCCCTTGTGGAAGCCCCTAAAAAGAAGTTATGCCCAAAAGGGGGAAGGGAGGGGGGGAAGGCAAAAACTTGATGCTATCTGCTATATACGTACTGTGTACAGGCTGTTGCCATGAAGCCACTTCATATGGCATTATTAAAGACTCTTAAATATGACTGCTTTGCTGAACTGTGCAAAGAATGTGTCAGGGCAATGGACAGAACTGTAGCCCAAGAGCAGTGCCCCTATACTGGACTGCGGCATGTACTATGGCCAAGGGGAGCCTTGTGCTTAAGCAGCGTGCCAAGCTAGATGTGGACCCAGGAGTACAAGAAGCCTCCTGTCCCTGCATCTCCGCAGCCATGCCAGCACCAGGATGCAGACCCGCAGCCCTGACCTCCATGCACACATGCAGCAGCAGGCCAGAGAAGGAAGCCATGCTCTGCTACAAGACAGATGTTCCTGAGCAGATGCCATAAAGGAATCTCTTCTCCACCATGCAGGCATCCCCACCACCACCTTCATGTGTTAACTTCACCTGGAAAGACACACGTTCCTCACCAGCCTAAGACAAAAGGTTGTGCCCAGCTACCAACAATGGCAGCAACCAAGTCTTCCTGCCACCCATCAAGATAACGACACTGCCCAATGTCTGGTTGTTAATCCAAAACACCAGCTCTGCAATGTGATTGGTGCTCTTCTTTTTCTCCTTTGTCTCAACCCCTTCCCCCAGAAGTGTTACTCCCAACCAAACCATTACTTGCAATTGCCCAACCATTAATCCCTTTTCTGCCCCATTCATAGTTTAAGTTTTGTTAATATCTCCTGGGGACCAGGTGACCTCTTGAGTTCTAGCCTCAGGTCACATTTTAGGTATATAAGGAGAGCCCTCTCTGGGTGTGTTTCTCTTGCCTCTTGCTTTTGCCTCTCCTAATCCCACCCTATCTTGCTGGTTCCATTCCTTGTGCAGTTTGGAACTTGCCACATGTGTTTCTGGTCAACTCACGGCCCCTTCCCTTATTTTATCCCTTTTTCACTGCAGTATCATCTCGCCTTACTGGACAGGTACAGTATCACGCTACCAATGATACTTCCTGCTAATGCAAACATCTCTGTACTTTTCTCTCTGAATTCTTAGTTCTGTATTGAGTGTGTGTATGCTTGATTTTATGTTCACATGTTTGAGAATCCTTCAGTAAAGAAATCACTGCTTTAGTAATCTAGCCTCAGTGTCTATTCCTGGGTACTGGGAATTCAAACTCTGGTATACACAGGTTATGGTCCTAAAATTAATGCCTATTGCCATTTAATACTCATAATTCCCCACATTTGTAAATAAAATAAGGCAATGTGGCTAACAAGGCCAATTAAAAGGTTAACACATCTTCATGTAAAAATCTTAAGACCACATTCGGCCATACAGCTAGGGTTGCCAGACCTCCCAATGGAACCTTCACTACTCCACTGTCACTCAATTTTTTTAAAAGTCAGCATCACATACACCATGATGTCACTTCTGAAGAAAACCCAGAAGTGAATAGTTCTAGGAATTCTACATCACTTACAGGTTTTTCCCAGAAGTGACATCACAGCACACGTGACTCCACTCCCCATGTCCCCACCCCACCCCCAAACTCTCACCAGTTGTCAGGCACAGTCTGGCAACCCTACATACAACAAAGCTAACTTTTATTTCATTCCTAAATTCTTGAATGCTGCCAAACAAGAAGGGCTTTAAACAAGAGGGGCCCATTGAACACAGAGAGAGAACCTGGACAGGGAAGGATCTTTCATACTGTTATTATGATGCTGTCAAACCTCCCAAACTCTGACAAACAGTTTACTTGACCTTCCCAAGTTTAACAATATTCTCACCCTATAAGCCACACTACAGCCACAGGGCTGAGGTTTAATGGACTTGGGGGAAAGGGGCCAAGCCCAGCAATGGCAGTCAGAGCTGCCCAGTTGTTGCTTGAAATACTCCCTCTGCATTGTTTCAGTGCATAAAGATATGTCAGCACTTCAGTCCATAAACACTTGGTTGGGCAAGAAACTGTACAGTCTTTCTTTATTATCCAAGTTGGCATCACTAATCACTTTAAATGGGAAAGTCTGGTTTCCACTGGCCTGGTGGGGGCTGGGGTGCCTGCCAGCTGTCGTGGGGTTACTTTGAGGTCTCGTCATGTCTGCCTTCCTGTCCTTCCAAATCTGCCTTTGGAGAATTGTGGGTGGCCCAGCCAACCTGACAGGTGTTTCCTGTGCAGAGAAGAAGCATACATCATGGCGCTTCAGCCCTTGGTGGAGTGCTTTGAGAGTTGTGGGCACTGGGCACACTTCCCTTGCTTGTCCAGTGGGGCTGGTGTGCCTGCCAAGCTGCCATGGGGTAACTTTGGGGAGCCCCTGTCAGAAGTCTCTTGTCTTGTCTGCCTTTTTGTCCTTCCAAATCTGCCTTTGGAGAACTGTGGGTGGCTCAGCTAGCCAGGCAGGTGTTTCTTTTCCACCACAAAGTAGAAGAATTTGCCACAGGTTGTTTCAGCCCTTGGAGGTGCTGTGAGAGTTGTGGGCGCTGGGCATGCTTCCCTTGTCTGATGGGGCTGGGATTCTTGCCAAGCTGTCTTGGGGTAACTTTGGGGAGCCCCTGTCAGATATCTGCCTTTCTGTCATTCCATTACTAATCACTTGAAATGTCAAAGTCTGATATCCACTGGTCTGGTGGCACTGGGGTGCCTGTCAAGCTGCTACGGGGTAACTCTGGGGAGCTCCTGTGGAAGTCTTGTCATGTCTGCCTTTCTGTCCTTCAGAACCTGCTTTCGGAGACTTGGGGGGGGGGGCGGCTGACAGTTTGCCTTGCTTCCAGTGTCTGGCTGGGGGTGGTCTGCCCAGGTGAAGTTTCCCCGTGAGTTTGATGTAATCAGCTTGTTCCATGGCTGTCAGAGTCCTCCTCTCCAGAGAGTGTTAGCAACTGCTGGTGTCTCTGGGCAGTACTAACAACTCTTTTGCCTCTACAGGGAGCCCGAGGAACAGATCACAGGCAGGAGGTTCCAAGATTCCTGGTGAAGCCCTGCTAAGGGCCGGGCTCCAGTGGCCTGGCAGGATGGGTTTGATACAGGGGGTGGAGGACTTCTTCCCCCCATAACAAGCACCCTTCACACCCACTTTCACCCTCATGGCACACAGAGGTGTTCACACTCAGGAGGGAGAGTATAAATGTGGGAGACCTTTGGGGTGGTCCATAACTGGGACCTCAGAAATGTTTTCTGCCCCCAACTTGGAAAGATTGTAAAGGAGCAGGTCTAACATCCAGTATGGAAGCAACCCTAGAGCCAATGTTGCAAACAAAAGCCAATGCAACTGGGCAACAAAGGCCTCATGCAGGTGTTCCCTAATGGACCCAGATTTCCACACCCTGTTTGCAGAAGCTGAGCACTATTGTAATTTGGGCAGCAAAATGTGGGGAGGCTTTCTTGGAGGGGCCTCCTGTTCCCCCTCCGCTTCTCCCTGCTGAGAGGGAGTGGGCCTCTTCTTCCTCCTGCTGACCACCACTTTTTCCTCCTGCATGAGGATGACAAGAGGTCAGGCCCACTTTCTACTTTCTAGAACAAAGGAAATTGCTCGTGATGAGTCAAGAAAGAGCTTCCACAAGGAGGCCCACCGTATACACTCAGAATCTGTGACTAGATGGCCTTTAGAACTAATGGCATTCTTTCCAGGTGCAGGAGATGCAGCCAAGAGTAAGGTAAAGGTAAAGGTTCCCTTGCTCGAAAGCCAGTCGAATCCAACTCTAGGGTTGCGGTGCTCATCTCCGTTTCAAAGCCGAAGAGCCAGCGCTGTCCAAAGACGTTTCCGTGGTCATGTGGCCGGCATGACTAAACACCAAGGTGCACGGAATGCTGTTACCTTCCCACTGAAGTGGTACCTATTTATCTACTTGCAATTTCTTGCTTTCGAACTGTTAGGTTGGCAGGAGCTGGAACTAGAGACGGGAGCTCACTCCATCATGCGGCAACTCGGGTCTCGAACTGCTGAACTACTGACCTTCCACAGCCTGCAGTTCAGTGTCTTAACCACTTGAGCCACCACAGCTCTGCAGCCAAGAGTAGGGAGCCACTAAATACATAAAAATTACTCTGCTCAGAACAGCAAAGAACTGTCAACATTCATCCCTATTGTGTTAGCACAATCGCACCTGAAGCAAAAAATAATGGTTGCCTCTCCACAAATATGACCTTTATAAAACAAACAAAATCGTAAAAATCCACCACCATTAAAGTACATATACAGATGCAAGAAGGCAAAGCTACATGTAAAACTCAAGTCTGAGAAGCTTTTTTTAAAATAAGAAATCTATGGATTACCTGCTCTCCCTCAGTTTCTGGATATACTTATACTTATCAGTCAATGAACCATTGGACGTAATCACTGCCTATAAAGCATATGAAACATATCATTATTTTCCTTGCAGCTGGCCTTTGCAAGGGGAAGTCAGTAAAAAGGGAGGAAATTCCTTCATAAGACTTACATCTCTAACAACAGGTGAGTAATTCTGGCTCTCCAAGGGCTCAGAGGCGTCCGATAACAGCTGTAGAGATCAAGGATTTCAGTCAGACCATTTACTTTAATACATCAGACAGATAATTATCTTTCAGTGGTAAGAGCCTTGGAAGACTCGGTATCATTAAAGATAGGGGGACTGCCAAAGCATAAACGCAAAGTAGGTTATTTGGCTTCTCACAATGTGGTTCCTAAAAAATTGGTTCATATGAACTTGCTTAATATCTGACAAAAAGAAGAAGAGGAAGAGATCGGATTCACTACCCAAAGGAGTCTTAGAGAGGCTTAGAATCCCTTTCCCTTCCCCTCCCCACAACAGACACCCTGTGAGGTAGCTGGGGCTGAGAGAGCTCTTGAGAGAACTGCTCGAGAGAACAGCTCTGGAAGAACTTGTGACATTAAAATGAATGTACTTCCAAAATGGCTATTCCTATTCCAAACAATTCCCATCTTGCAAAACCAAATTTTTTTTAAGGAATTAGAGCAAGCGATATCAAAATTTGGCAAGGTAAGAGACCCAGAATAAGACTGAAAGCTCTACAAGACTTAAAAGAAAGGGAGGACTTTGGCCTACCTAATTGGAATCTCTACTATAGAGCAGCGGCATTAACATGGATTAAAAGCTGGGTCACAATGGAAGACAAGAGAATACTGAAATTGGAAAGCCATGACATTATGTTAGGTTGGCATGCCTTTTTATGGTATGGAAAGGCAAGTACGCATAAATATTTTAAGCAACACTGGATATGGGCATCTCTAATGAAAGTCTGGGAAAATATACATAACCACTTCTATACAAAAAACTCAAAACTGATCATCCCACTAGAAGCTATTACACTTCCAAATGCCTACCAGGAAGAACTTGTGACTGACCCAAGGTCACACCAGCAGCTGCATGTGGAGGAATGGGGAATCAAACCCAGTTCTCCCAGATTAGAGTTCACACTCCTAATCACTACACCAAACCAAAAAGGTTGTATGATATGTTTGGTAGTTGGTTGATTTAAATGTAGTGTTATGATCCACTTCACTAATACAACATAAGTGAGAAGTATTTTTGTATGATATTCTATGCATCTTATATGTTCAATATCTTACGTATCACAAGGTTGTACGATACTGATGTGTTCTTGTTTTGTATATATATTGTAATAAATAAAAAAAATTAAAATAAAAAACCTCAAAGTGAAATACAGACTGACTGTGTTCCGTTGTCTAATTCCTTGGGGAAAAAATTATTTATTTAATTCGGTTTCTAGACCGACCGACCCTGTGGAACAGGGTTCAGGGCGGTGTACATCAATAAAAACAGCATTCATACAGTCGATTCATGGTTAAAACAATAAAAGTACAACAATTAATCTAATTTGATGTTGCTAAAACTTCCAATTATGCCACTGCTTCACGGGGGGGTGGGGGTGGAGCAAGAGACAGGAGTGCCTGCCAGATAGAAAATGCTGCTGTCCTCAACCAAACACCTGGCGGAACACCTCTACCTTACAGGCCCTGCGGAACTGCATTAAGTCTCATAGGGCACAGATGTTACTTGGCAGAGAGTTCCACCAGGTTGGGCCAGGGCGGAAAAAGTCCTGGATCTGGTCAAAGACAGCTGGATGTCCCTCGGGCCAGGGACCACCAATAGGTTCTTATCTGCTGAGTGCAATGCTCTTTGGGGGCTATACCAGGAGAGGCGGTCCCAAAGATACGTGGGTCCCAGACCTTGAACCTGATCCAGTACTCTACCCGGAGCCAGTGTAGCTCATGCAGCACAAGTTAAATATGTACTGTTTGCGAGACCTCCCTAAGGACCCATGCTGCATTCTGGACCAACTGTAGTTTCCAGGTCAGTCTTAAGAATAGCTCTACATAGAACAAGTTACAGTAGTCTAATCTGGTGGTGACCGTTGCATGGATTACTGGGGCTAGGTCAGGACAGGACAGGTAGGAGCCAGTTCCCTGACCTGGCGCAGCTGGAAAAACACTGGTCTGGCAACATTTGTGATCTGGCCCTCCACTGATAGGGAGGCATCCAGGATTACATCCAGGCTCTTGACAGTTGGTGCTGGTATCGAGGGCATACCGTCCAGAGCCGGGAATTGACACCACAAACCTGAATCCTCCCCATGCAACCACAGAACCTCCATCTTGGTAGGATTCAGTCTCAGCCAACTCTTTTTCAACCATCCCACCACAGCCTCCAGCCCCTCAGCCAAATTTACTGGGGCGGTATTTTGCCGGTAGCCCATCAACAGATATAGCTCTGTGTCATCAGTGTACTGGTGGCATTCTTCCCGAAACTCTGTACCAGCTGGGTGAGGAGGCACATATAGATATTAAACAACATTGGAGAGAGGATTACACCCTGAGAAAACCTACACACTAGGGGTGCCTAGTTGACACCCTCTCTCCCAGTGCCACCCCCTGTCCCCGGCCTTGGAGAAATGTGGTGAGCCACTTCAAGATTACCCCCTGAACTCCTGTGTCTGTGAGGCAGCGGGTCAAAAGATCATGATCAACCATGTTGAATGCTGCTGTAAGATCAAGCAATAGCAGCACCACCAACCCACCTCAAATTGAAATTCTCCTGATCCTCAGTTAAAACCTTCTCCTTGGATTCATATATTTTTTTGTCTTAGCACCCTGGGTCTACAGCCACAGCAGAATGAGGTAAGTAGAATGGACTGTATGCAACTTCTGACTGCAGGAGAGATGTTCCATTTTTTCAATGCTCTCCCGAGTGGAAAACCTTTCTGCAAGAAAAGAGCTAGCACATAAGGTAGGAAGAGTCTAACCGTATTTTATCTTGTTCTAGCTTTCTGCTTGCAGAGAATGGTTTAAAACACACAGAGGAACATTCAAAAGTGTGACCCCCACACCTACAGCCTACAACAGTTCAGCCCACTCTACCACTTTGCACATAGACTGACCAGACCTCCCATCATTTAGCAAGATCCAAAACAAGTGTGATAGGCCTTGGTGCCTAAGTCCTATCTATAGATTTCTCAAGGGGCTGCATATGGAAAGTCAGAATCAGCTTACTCGGGAAACACATTCCTGAAATAAACAGAAATATGATCTCGTTATCAGCTGCTAAACTAATAGCACCACTGGGTTCAAAAAGCAAAGCAATTAGTAAAATTGTCCAGATTAACAAAGTTCGTAAGGCTGAAGAATAAATAAATGCCTAGATCTTTTCTTCTTCCAAGTGCTGGAAGCCTTTCCTAGATTATTGTTATCAGACTCTACTGATTTTTTAAAAAACAGAATTCCTTTGAAGTAAGTGTCTATGCATGTGTTTATATATGTCACTAAAAATAATAAAAAGTAATGTTTTAAATAATTACATACACAAATAAAGTTCATTGAAGTCAATGGGCTCAGAAGGATGTTAACTCTGCTTAGGATTGTACTGCAAACTGCTGCCAGAAGGGTAACCAGCCCTTCAGGTCCAGAGACCAAAAGGGGTAGCGGCCAATTCAGAATAAGGGGAGAAACCAAAACAAATTCTATTGGCAGTTTTCCCTAGCAGAATAAAGTAGCCAGAGGTTCCCAGATGCATTTATTGAAATATTTTTACTTTGCCTTTCCTTTGTGGCTTAAGGCAGCTTACAAATCCAAATTCACATCAATGTATAATAAAACCTCAACTAACCCCCTCCCAAATGCCCACACCTCATTAAATGCCCTGGTGCGGGGGTGTCGAACATTTATTACAAGGGCCGGAACTGACATAAATGGGACTTGGTGGGGCCAGGCCATGCGTGTCATAAAATGTAATGCCAGGCAGCAGAGATATAAACTTTATAAAAGATACAAACACAATTAAAGATATTATTTTTTTTACTTAAAATACAAATATGTTTAAAACTCTTGCAATATTTTGTTTATTTAACAGTTTTTGATAACTGCCACCTCCCAAACCTTCCCCCCACCCAAAAAAAAGATGCCTGCCTAAAATGGAAAGGTGGGCGGATAGTAGGATTTGACTGTGCAATTTTTAAAATTAAACATCAAGAAAAAGCACAAGGATCACAGCAGAAACTAAAAATATAAAATGCTCTGAACATAAAATGGCTGGGCATTGCAAGCTTCTCCCCCACCCACCCACCCAGAGTGGCAGTGGCTCTTCAGTGTAATGTCCCCCTTTGGCTGTGTGTTCCCAGGTTAGAGTACTCACTTAGGCACCTGTTCTCTGGTCCGTTCAGCAGAGACAAGCTGGCTCAAAACATCAACCCTGCATTTGCAAGGAGACAACTCCAGCAAGCAACAGCTTCAACTACACAAACACTGGAAACACACATACAAATTGAGAAAATAAAGGTGGTAGCTTATAGAGACAAAGAAGATAATTTATTTATTTATTTATTTATTTACCTATCCAAGGAATTAGAGATCCGAGGGAGAAAGATGAGCAAAATGAGCCAGGAGTATCCAGCTCCATGTTGTGAGTGTACATCCAAACACACAACAATGAGGAGACACACTACTGAGCAGAATGTGGCTGATTATACTCTTTTGGGAAATGACATGATAGCTCCTAGAACAATGCTGTGATAGTTGTAGTGAAACAATGTTGTCTGAGCAAGGACACTTCATAATGTTCCCAGGAATTGCAAATGCAATGTAACATTCATGTGAAATGTCTACTGTGTTTGATGAACTCTAATTGTTAGGACAGCAAATCATTAAAAAGGGGTGTTGTGGGATTACAATGGTTTTGACTATAGACTCAAATAGGACAACCACGTAAGGGAAAGCCAGGTGAGGAAATGGGTTAGTTCTACTGTCTTTTCCTGAGAAATTAATCTTTGACACTGATGGATTTAAAGAGGGAAGAGAACTGCCAAAAAAACCAGCCAGCCATCAAACTACTGTTATCTGCCTGTCTGACTTCAGCTTTCCATCTCCTCCCCCTTCCCTCCTGGAGACCAGTTGTAATTCTAAGTGATCTCCAGCCCTCCCCTGGAGATTGGCAACAAAGGTTCCCCAGGAGGAAATCGCTGGTTTGGAGGGTGGAGTCTATGGCAT